GGATTTTAGGGAATTTTTTTCACAGAAAGGACTGTAAAGCATTAGAACATGCTGCCCAAGGAAGCAGAGGAGTCACCATCCCTGCAAGTGTCCCAGAAAACCTGTGGAAGTGGCATTGAGGACATGGTTTAGTGGGGAACATGGTGGCAGGACTGGGTTGACCACTAACTTGATGATCTTAAAGGTCTTTTCCAACCTTAACAATTCTACGATTCTACTTGATTATAACCGTTCTTTGGTTTGTGAATAATGAATGATCCTGTGATTAAATTGATGTGAAAACTCCCGTGGTGTGTAAATAGAGGCAAGCTGCAGTTTTTAGCTCCTTTTGGGGTTGCTAACACCGAGGGGATAGAATTTTCTTCTTGGAATGTGATTGTACATGATGTTTGCACCCATCATTCATAAGGAAAAGTTTCTTACAGACTTAACAGATTGTGTTTCCATCTCTGCTGCGTAAAAACAGTGTTATGGACACAAGCGAAATGGAAATCATAACACAGCATCTCCACTATTTTAAGAGTCATATTGGAACACATGGAAGAGAGATGGAATTCCACTCTTCACTGCCTTCAGATTTGGTGTTCTGTGTATTTACTTAGCGCTAGAAAAGGAAAGTGAAAACAAACCCGTTGCCTCAATAAAGCCCAGGAACGGGCTTTGCTCCTGCCCCTTCCCTTGGGACCAGGCACCATTTCCAGGCAGTGGAAGGCCTCTGGGCAAGCAAGAGCTGCAAAGTCATTCCTGAGATGAGACAAGAAAGGGGAAAAAAAGGGCTGAGAGTCAGGGTGAGAAGAGCCAGCTGAGGAGCACTAATGGGTGAGAAAGCCGAGGGACAGGTCTGAGGGATGATAGTGCTTCTGGAGGGAAGGGCTGCCTGGAAATGGGTCTGGCTGTTCCTGCTCCGTGGGGCTCCTGGGGAAGCACCTGCCTCGAGGCAGTTTATTCAGCTGTCAGCACGTTCTCACACTGACTCTGGATGCATCCCAGCACTGGGAGCTGGGCTGCGCACAGGGTGCTTTTCCCATCTCCTGGTTATTGTTGCATTTCAGGCTTTTTTTCCTGTGCTGCACTGGCTCAAACTGCTCCTGTTTCTCCCATGGAGACCTGAAAACAGAGAGAAGATTGGGCACTTCCACACCAGCAGTCAAGCTCTAAATCAATCAGATTTTCTAGGGTTTTTTTGTTGTTTTGCCTTTTTTTTTTTTTTTTTTTTTTTTTTTTTTTTTTTTTTTCCCTGTGACCTTCTCTATGCAATTCCAGCTGCACCTCCTGAGTTACTCTGGTTTGGTCCAGTTACTCTTTAATTTTTTTTCCTTACCCAATTTCAATTCCAAGTGTCCCCCTCACACACGTAACTGCAGCAGAGCAGGCAGGATTGGGCAGGCTGCTCTGATCCAAGTGTCCGGCGTGGCACCTCCTGCGTGCACGTCACAATTTCGGGGTGACTAAGCACATTGGCAGTGGTGTTCAGTGGCATCTCTAGAGCACTGCTCTATATTTGTCTTTCCTTCCTCTGTTTGAGTCGGTTTAAAAGAAAAAAGCAGGTCCAAGCTATGTGCTGACAAGACTTGGCGACTCTGGATGGCAGGAGGGGTACGAGGCTCAGCGCAGCGAGTACTGGAAAGATATTTGTCACTGCAGATTCTGCTTGTCATATGCAGAGATGACATGCAGATCTCCCTCTGACAGATTGATAGTCATTCCGAGATGCATCCACCCACAAAAACCACAGACATGCTGCTTGACTCAAATCTTGACTTTAACCACAACTTTGTGATGCAAAACTGGTGGAGTTTTTGGTACTTTTTGTTAAAAATGAAATCTTTATAGGGGTTTTCCAGCATCCTTGCTAGTTACTAAAAACAAACCAACATCAGCCTACTGGATGGGACAGCTCAGTTTACTCGTGGGTGGTTTTGACATTCAGCTCATTAACATGTTTAGTCTGAAAGAATGTTGGAAAGGTAGTAAATAAAAAATTGGATGGAGAAATACAGCATCTCTCCAGAAGTTACTCCTTATGTCGCAGTGACAATGCCAGTTTCACTTAGAAGGAATATTTGTCCTGATTTTATTCCAGATACCCACAGCTCGTCCTGAGCGAGCTCAGAGCCTGGTCAGTGTGTTTGTAGAAGCAAATGCACCTTGCTGAGTGTAAAGGTTACACTCTGCGCTGGCCGGGGCCAGGAGGTTCACAGCTTGGCACGGAACTTCCAGCGCGGCGTGGAAGAACCTGGGCACGCTGGCCCCCAGCCAGGGAGTCTCCCAGGGAAACAGGGAGCCACCCCAGTCCGTCAGCACGAGCTTTGTGTCCCCAGGTGGGAAGGCACTTGACATGGAAGTGGCTTTGGCTGTTCTGGCACGGGGTGGCTCCACGGGCATCCCCCGGCACCTCCTGTGCACTCCTGCCACAAGCTCAGGGATGGCCCCGAAGGAGCAGGGACGTTGGACCGGGTGATCCCTTCCCACCTGACCCATGGGTGTGCCTGGAATTGCAGCCAGAGGGTCTGCAGAGCACAGAGAACACACACGGCAGTGTCTTCAGCTGCTTATGTTGGAAACGGGAAAGGGAAAGTACTCCAAATAAGTTTCTCTTGTTCGGAAACACAATGGGCAATTTAAAACCCCTATTAGGCATGTGTGTAGGAGCATTTCCCATCCGGGGAGACCAGGGGGATTGCTATGGAGCTGTATTATGACTTCCCTGATATCAATCAAGCCCCCATTATGTAACGAGGTCTCCATCACGCGCGCCCCAGCGCGAGGCCCCGCCGCGAGCACCGAGGCTGCAATCCCGGCTCCTTTGTCCTGCCCTCTGCCAATTTGCTGCAAAATTGAGGATGAGGCTTGAATTTGCCATTGTGGCGGTGCTGGGGCCGTGGCTGCGCTTTCAGAGCAGTTATTTGCATTGCCTTGATTAGCATGTCACCTGCTTCATTAGTGGAGAAAAGGCTCCTCCACACACTCAGCCAGTCATGCAAATTGAGGAATGCACGGAGATCCTTCCCCTCTAAGACTTTCCATTATTAGCAAAATTGGTAGATTCGGTTCGTTCCTTCCTCTTCAGAAGGTCACTTTTGATTTCCACCTCCAAATGGAAGTTCTTATTTAAGAGACAAAGTAATCGTGGTCCCAAACTTTTCACATCCAGCAGTCCTGCTTAATGAAACCTGATGCCAAAGGAAAATCCAGGTGTGTGCAGGGCAGGTGGAACCTCCCTGGTTTCAATCTAATCCTTAAACCAACAGCCATCTGTCTGTCACCCAATCATTAATTTTACTGCATGTCAGCGATGTGTTTTTAGAGCCAAAAAGCTCCCTCCTGTGCAGGACCTAAACTTACATTACAGATGCCTTTCTCAGGTTCTGGAGGATTTTTTGCACTTGAGAGTCCAGTAATTGTGAATAAAGCTTTTTGTGATGTCAGAGATACTCAGCTTTTGTGGAAAAGAGTACCCCAAATGGGGAAATTAAACAGATCCCTCACACAGCTTTTCTCTGAGATCAGGAAGTTGCCATGGGGCACCAGATCTCAGTCCAGAATGGGAAAGTCCTAACACAGGTTTGACCTCGGAAGCTGCAGGGACAGAACCACCACCAGCCCCAGCAGGGTTTTCACCATTCCCTGTCTCTGCTGGCACAGCCATCGTGGGCAGAGGAGCTCAGCCAGAAAGAAAAATTTTAAAAGGCTTAGAAAACCCAAGAGTGAAAGAAGAAAAAAGGAAAAATGTGATGGTCATGCATGAAATGTCACTGCAGAAATGAATCTGCAGAGAGGAATGACCTGTTCGTGGGCTGAGGGGAGGAACAGAGTCACTTTCCTCTGCTGCCCAGCTGACGCAGCCTCTGCTCAGGCTGGGGACACAGTGTGACCTCCTGAGCCACCTGTGCCACCCCTGGAACCACCCACCTGTCTGCATCCCCACGGCCGGGGTGGTGGCTGTGCTCTGCTTCTCTTGCTGCAGCTTGCAGCCCAGGGAGAGAGAAGCTCCCTTTTTGCATCTCCCCAGAGCTCCTGGGAAGGCAGAGGCGCGGTGAGAGGCCCGGGTTCCACCCCGCTGCTTTCACACGGATCACAGAGCAGAGCAGGGCCGTGCCCGTGCGAGGCACTCGGCGCTTCTGCCTTTTTAAGGTAAAGATGAAGCAACAGCGCACATCCTCAGGCTGCCCTCTCAGGCTGTGCTCGGCCGCCTCCCTCTCACCTGACTGGCAGAGGCTCCGGGAAGCCTGACAAATTTGTGTGTCTGCTTATCCCTGGATGGCAGGAGGGGAAGGAGTGAGTCAGGTACGTGTCTCTGCTGCTCAGGGAAAACGAAATCCTGCTCCTCCACCGCGCCACGCCGGCGGCAGCCGCAGCGCCGCGCTCCCTCTGCACACACCTTGCTGCAGAGGGCAAGACAGATTTGCCAGGAGATATATATGGAAATGCATGTGATTAAGGAGTCACAATCTCACCGATAAATCTGGCTGGGAGACTGCTGGTCAGGCTGCCCTCCTTCCTCCCCCACCCTCGGGTGCCCTCCCGCTGAGCTCTGCTGATGACCTGAGCTGGGGGCACGCACCCACCTCAGACAGTTGTGTGCACTTACCAGATTAAAGATGATTAATTGTACCAGGTAGTTCCTGCTACATCTTAATCAAATACACATAATCAGCAACGCTCCTGTGCACACGATACTTGGAGCTGGAGGGGTTTTTAGCTCTCATACGCTCCAATGACAGCCACAAACCCAAACTATCAGTGGGGAGAGTGTGAAGTATCCCAACCCAGAGTGACCACAGGTGAAGTTCCCTGGGTGCCAGTGCCTCTCACTGCTGGAGGAGGGACATGCTCTGGTTTTAAAAAAATCAACCTCTGCCCCTCTGGGCACTGGGAAAAGCCCCATCCTTACCTGCCAGGCCCCTGTGATGCCACATCCCAGGACATGCGTGTGTGACAGAACTGCCAAACACCACCTTGGAGGGGACACAAACCACCAGCAGCCTCTGACCATAGAGTATTTTGCATCATTTATTTAAATACCTATATTTATGCATTTACAAATTTTCATAGCTCTTTCTGTAGCTTTTTTTCTTTTTTTTTCTTTTGTAGACAGTATTGCAGAGAAGTCAGCTCCTGTAAAATGAGGTCCATGTATAAAACTATGCAGCGGATTGGAGGAAAAAAAACCCAACCAAACAACAACCTGACAAGTTTCCTTTCACACTCTGGAGAATCAGAAACCAAAGAAAGTGACCAAATGAAAGGGGGCAGGGAGAGGAAGGGGTGGGACAGAGCAGCCTCAAACCAGTGGCTCTCACACAAGCATTACACACATCAGTGCTCAGCTACAGGACACATTTCAGTCGGTGCAGTGCCTGTTTGCTAAAGCTTTAGCAGGCACGTAGGTCTCTAATGAAAAAATAGAAGGAGAGGATCCTACACACTGAGAATGCAAAGCCTGGACAGCCTCGGCTCGGTCCTGGGAGACTGCACCGACTCGCCAGCAGGGCATCCTCATTCCAAACTTCATTTTGCATAAAAAGTTCCCTTTAAGAAATCTTAGCATTTAAAAAACCCGGTGTCTGAGCTCTTCTAGCCTCAGTACTCTAAAGAAATCTCTTGAAAAATACCTCCTGCTTTCCTCACTTGGAAGCTTCAAAATAATGTTCTGCTTTAATTGATACCAATTGAACAGCTCACGGAGTCCCAGCATCATCCCTGGGAGGAAGAGGCAACAAATATGGCATTGCAAGATATTTACACACATGGTACAAAAATGTCCAAGGGTATGAAAAAATCACCAGTTACACAATTTTGCAGCAGCCTCATTTACACCTGTAATTTTATACCATTTATTACATTGTACTAACACACCAGATCCAAAGATGTGCACTCCCTTAGGACATTCAGGAGTTCCAAATATATTGTGATTGCATAATTCATATTGCACAATTGTATAAAAACATAAATACTAGCTATTCTATTCTTTTTTTTTTTTTAAATACAAAATACATGTCACATAGTCAAATAATCTTTTCAAGTGCAATTCAGGTGCTCTCTTAAGTCCTTCCAAGGAAAAGGCAATTTTGATAGTTTTGGCACAAAGTTTAACCTCTGTCCCGTGCCAACAGTTCTAATCACAATCCACGCGCCCCCAGCTTGATAAGAGTAGCAGTCATATACATCTAAGTATAAAACCAGGGTATTTACAGGATGCACAGAAGGTTCAGGGAGCAGCCTCGGGGCCGGGGATGTTGGGGCTGTCCCGGAGGGGCCGTGGCCCTCCCGGCTCAGGCCGGTTGCTGCTGCAGGTTCACATTCATGGGCGGGGGGTGTCCAAGGAGACCGATGCGCTGCTTCTGCTTCCTCTGCTCTGTCATCTGGAAAATTAACAAGTTTGCTCATTAGGCCTCGTTGCTTCCTGTGCGTCAGCTCGCCCAGGGGCCTGTTGTGCTTGGCGCTCGCTGCGGAGCACCGGCTGCAGCCAGCGCCTGCTCCCGGGCCAGGGGCTGACTCCAGCCCCAGCACGGCCACGAGCCCATCTGTGTGCCCAGACACTGCCGTGCCAGGGACAGCTCGGCAGAGCCCGGCAGGCAGCGGGAACGGGAGCGGGGAGCAGCCTGCAGAAACCTCCCCTGTCAGGAATTCTCTGTAACCCGTCCAGCAGAGGGGGCGGAAAAAGGGGCGAGCCCTGCAGTCAGGCTGGGAATACCCTTGCCTTTGCTGGAAAACACTGAGCACTCCCCGCTCTCATCCCGAGTGAGCCAACAGCCCTCCCCATCTGCCAAGGCAGGACTTAACCACCTCACTGCCACACACCCCAAACTTTGGCATTCCCCACCTGCTTCCCACTCGTTAAAGAACGTTCTCCCGATCGGTGAACCGTGAACGGGAAATGGATCACTGTGATCACTGATACTGAGAAATGGCCACAATCCAATGGCTCCACTCTGCTTTTTTAAAACTTTGGGAGGTTTCTGACAAGTTACATAAGCCATGTAAGGGATGACTCTGGTTGGACAGGGTGTCGGGAGCGAACAGCAGGATCCCACAGCAGGATCCCACAGCTCCCGCGGTGCTGTGGCTGCAGAGGAGCCACACCGTGGGATGGCTCACAGGGAATGCCAGGACAGCCTCATCCCTGCCCCACCGACGGCACCTGGGCCCCCCAAGACCCTCAGGGTCAGCACACCACAGCACACAATCCACACTCCCATCCTGCTCCTTCCAGATACAGCCACCATTTAACTTCTCCTGTTTTGCTGTTTAATGACAAATGCCAGCCAGTGTCACTGCTTGTGGCAGCAACCCCAGCAGAAGGGAGGTGGCGTGTGCATGTTTGGTTCATTTGGTTACTAACACATTTGGGATCATGGAATTGGTAAAGTTGGAAAAGACCTCCAAGATCAAACCCAGCAGTCAACCCAGCCCCAGCACCACGGTCACCAGTAACCCACTTGAGTGCATCTGTTTAAAACCCCAGTTTCTAGCTGATGGTTTCCCAGCTGGGGCAGGGTGTGCTGGTGGCCAGCCAGTGGCTGACCTGGAGCTCTCTGTGGGGAATGGGATTGCTCCAGACGGGCAGTGCTGGACAGCCTCTGCAAGGCTCCTCTGCTGCACACCCCACACCTCAGCGTGTGCCCAGTGGCACTCCTTAAACCGCCAGGAAAAGGGCTGAAACACCATCATTCCTCTTGAAACCATAATTAGCCTTGACCTCAGCACCTTGCTCCCTGCCTGGCCCAAGGGGAGGCAGAGCTGCTGTTTTCCCTTTCCCCAGGGCTGACCACGGCCTCCCGAGGCCAGGGCACACCTCCTGCTCCTCTGCACAGCTGCTGGAATTCTCTCCACAAAAAGCTTCTAATGCTCCACAGGGAATGGGAGCAGGAGGAGAGGGATCTTCCCAGAGCTCTCTGAACACACACCCCCCACTCCCTGCTGAACCTGAATGTTAAACTGCTGCTGTGATAACCCACAAGTGGAAATGCAGAGAGGCCACAAGAACTTGGCTTAAAAATGCCCCTTTACATTAATTATCTTCACTGAGCAAACTGAGAGTCACAATTTCACACTGCCAATAAACCGATTCAGAGGACGCGTGGAATAAAAATGGAAAGAAAGAGGAATAATGAAAAGGGACTGTAGCAGATATTTTTCAGGCTGGGTAGAAAAGGGATGGTGCACCCTAGTGCAGGTGTTTGTAGAAGATGTGGCTTTAAAAAAAGGGAAGAATAAAGCAACCAACCATAAATAAGAGGGAGAAATGCAATTTTAGTGTCAATGCAGAACATTATTAACCCTGCACGATGCTTTAATGCTTGTGTGGAGGGCACAGGGCTGCAGGAGGGAGCAACTTATTGCCATCACCTTTACTGGAGAGTGAATCTCCTGCAAAAGCTCTCCAGTACCAGCACACCTGGGCTAACAGGCCATAAAAGCCATGCACAGCAAATCCCAGGGAGCTGCCAGGCCCTGGAATTAGTGCTGACAGGACCCAAACGAGGGGTTCAGCTGAGCCAGGCTGGGCTCCCCGATAACGCCTGGGCCTGACAGAGCCTGCCTGGCTCCAAAGGTTATGGTGAGCTGGAGTCACCTCCAGGAGCAGGGCACCAGCTGGGCCAGGAGCAGGATCCCCACTGGACAGGGCACTGCCTGCACCCTGTCACCCTGAGTCACACCTGGAGCCCAGGGGGCTGTCCCCAGCCTGGGCCCGGCCCCAGGAGCATGCTTGCACTCTGGGAAGGATTTCTGGGTGATTACATCTAATCCCCTGCTGCTGCAGACAATTACGGTGTAATCTTTTCACACAGAATTAAAGTGATCAGGATTTTAATGGCTCTTGGTGCACTTTGGGGAAGCAGGCGGGCTGGAACTCGGCTCCTAATAATTAGAGTCTCCAGAAACCTAACGAGCTTGAAGAGCAAATGAATGAGAGGTTTTCCCTTTATTTAATTACAAGAAAATAAATACAAATAAAAATTCCCTGACTTAGTTTCTTTCCTGGAGACAGTTCCTGATCAGGAGGAGGGATATACTGGCTTTGTCACATAATTGGAGCATCCTGCATCTTCAGCAGGGCTCTCAATAATGGTACTTAGGGGAATTCCTAAAAGCTATCACCACACTAATGAAGCTGGTTTCCTCTCTTGCTTTTACAGTCAAATAGCTCTCTAAAAGCTAAATCCTTCATTCTTATTTTTACAAAGAGCAAGGAGAGGTTTTAGTGCTTGGTCAGCCAAGAGGGCTGCAAGCTTCAGAAAGAAATGTGTCGTGAGGCTGTGGCCAGTGGGGAGGCTCCTGTGGCTGCAGAGCACTTGGACACAGAGCCTTCAGCAGGGAGACACAGGACACACGGGGCAGGGTCATTGTTTCCAGGCAAAACAGCCAAACCACTGCCAGGCAAGAATTAAAGCCCAGACAAAAGAGCAACTGCCTCTGCCCTCCATGCTCAGACCGGCTGGAGCAAGGGGCTCTGTGGCACCGTGCCTGAGAACTGATTGCAGCCTGGGGCAGCGAGGCTGTCAGCCCCAGTCCCCCACATTAATCCCTTCCTTGCCTCCACAGGGTGCTCGGGACAGAGCCCAGCTGCAGCCCCAGTGCAAGGCAGGAGCTGATCCCAGCAGTGCTGGCTGCCAGGGCCTCCTGACAGAGGAGTGCTTCATGGAGACCTGGAGACACCCAGGCAGCCCAGCCGAGGTGGGCAGCAGGGGTGGCACTGCTGCTGGGAGGGGAACTGACCCAGAGCTGCTGGGCCACTCCTGCCCCGGGCAGCTCCATCCACCACCCGGGTGCAAGTCAGCAATTAATCTTAGCCAGTGCCAATACCTACATCAATTCACTAATTGAACCATCTGGCTCAGGTTATTAATGCACAGAGATAAGCAGCCACCACAAACAGCTCCTGCCAGCACAGGCAGCAGTGCTTTCCGTGCTTTCCCTGTTCCCTCCAGTCAGGCTGGAATCCCCAGGGACAGCACGAGCTAAAGCTCTGCTGCCTCTGTTTTTCACAAAGCCATGGCTGGGGCTGGGCACCAGCCCCACGACGCCCTCGAGCCCAGCCAAGGCAGAAGCCACCCAGCTCTTGCTGCAGAGAAGCTGCTGCACCAGAAAAACCCTGTGAGGTCTGTGGAGCGCAGTGCAAACCCTCCTGGGGATGTGTGAGCTCAGGCTGAGGGTGGCAGCAGCCAAATCACATCTGCACAGCAGCACAGCCGCAGCACGGAGGGACCAGCACCACCAGTAACCACTCGAGTGCCTCTCCAGTTTCTCGGTGGGTTTTGAGGTGCACACGGTGACACAGCCCTTGTGTCAGTGTCACACCCTCTTGGCTGACAGGATCGCACTCAGCTTTTCAGGTTAAACCCCAAACAACAACAACACCACCATACAGGCTCCCTGCACCAGCCAGGACTGATTCAAGTTAACTCTGGTGACTTTTTTAACACAAGTTCTCCCTTTCTGATGTGGGCACTCTGGAACTCGCAGGTGGGCCAGCACCAGGGGAGCGTGGGGCTCTGGAGGGACTCTGGTTTGTTCACTGCTCTCCTAACCATGAGTTCCCCTGGGGAGGCTCTCCTGGGGTCTGGAGAAGCCGTGGAGCTGCACAATCCCAGCTGGGCTGGCAGGAGCCCGTGCTGCCCATGGCAGTGTGTGCCCGCTCCTTACCTGATCCTTGAGCTCTGAGAGCTGCCCAGACAGGTTGGTCACGAGCTTCATGGTGGACTCCAACTTCTCCTGCAGGTTCCTCAGCTCGTTCTGCTCTCCCTCTGAGTCGCTGCTGACCAGTGACATGGCTCTCATCCGGGGGAACCAGTCCAGGTTTCTCTCCTGAGGATCACACAGCAGGGCACAATTAGCACCTGAAAACCTGCCCCCAGAGCACAGCACAGACAGAGCTCTACAGCCAGGGACATTCCTCGGATGCAGCAGCTCTGTCCTCATCTGCAGTTATCTGCATTTGCATCTCACTGGAAAGTTTGCAAAGTGCCAGCCCGAGGCACTGAGGCACCGCTGGGAATTGGGGCTGATCATTTTGGGTTTCCTCCCCAGGTACTCACTGTCCCCAGCCCGTGCTCCCTCACATACACCTCAGCATAAATGCGAAACACTGGACATTAAATCAGCCCAGATTTCATGTCTTCATAAGCATTTCCCAGTGCTAGAAATCTGCTGCCATCTCACAATCTTCTAATTTGTGTTTGAGGAAGATTTTCTGCTTTTTTTGGTCAAGCAAAGCTTGGCTGTGCTCTCTGATAAAAGAAACCAAGTTCTGGAAATTCTTCCATCGCTGAAATACTTCCTTTTTTATGAAAAAGAAAATCCTATTTTGACTGTCTGGTTCAGAGACAAAAATGAGGGACACATACATTACAATGCACTGCCTGTAGAGTTTTCCCTCAGCCATACAAAGTCTCTCATATTCCATGTTTAAGCTGCAGTCAGGAATGTCACTGGACACACACTCAGTCTGAGGAGCCTGTACAGAGGCACACAGGCACTCGTGTACTCGCCAGAGATGTTAAAAATAAAGGCAGGAGCGGAACAGAAAGCCACAAAAGAGGAGGAGGGGTGCACCCCACGTCCTGACACCTTACAGTTCAACATCAAACTGGTTTCCCATCCAGTCTGGTTCTCCTCCCACGCTGGAGATATGCTCTGCAGTGGAAGCTGGCTGAGATAAGGTGTGTGTGCTCTCACAGGTGACACAGCTGGGGAGCTCTGAACACACCAGGCACCGTGAAGGGTGACTGCATTAACACCAAGGGATGCTGGTAATCAAAAATCAATCAACACTGCTGATTAACAGTGACCACAGCTCACCCCACTGGCTGGCCAGGCTCTTCTGTGGGCTCCCAGCTTGTTTTTGCAGCACTGCAAACTCCTGTCTTTTTGTCATTCCCTGCCTGAATCTCCAGCTCCAACCCCTTCCCTCCATGCTCCCCCTCATTCCCAGGAGCATCCATCCTGCTTAATCAGGGCTGTGCACCTCTACAGAGAGCTCCAGTCACATCCTCTCTGCAATTCAGATGCGATGCCAAGACTCATCAGCTTAAATTAGCTGCTTCTGATGTGCCTGGAGTTTCCTTCTGCCAGGATGAGAAGGCAGAAAGCAGGCCCTTTCCCATGCAGGCACCACAGCATTCCCACGTGATGCAGAACTGCCAGCAAGGCTGTTTGCTCCTGATCTCTGTTTACAGGGCAGATGGTTTCTGCTAATAAAAGGGAAAAAAAAATCATCTATGTACAAAAAAAAATACGCCTTTACCAAGACAAGTGCCAAAATATTTTGGACTTTAGGAAAACGCCAGTCCCACAATTAAGGTTTAATAGTAGGAGCAGGCAGCACTGCACTGTGCTCTTCCAGCTGTAGTAAAAGCCTCATTAGGGAGGAGGGGGCAGCTCAACATTTGTGCTCAGGTCCAGCATCTCCCACTCAGGGAAAACCAACTACACCAACTGCACTTCCCCCTGTTCCTCCAGGGAAGAAACAAGGGCAGAGGACCAGGAAAATAAGACTAAAATGCAATTTATATTTGCAGCATTGCCTGGACCCTCAGGCCCATGTCCTGAGGTTTCTAGGCAGACACAGGAGCCCTGAAGCTCCTGCCTGCTCCTTTCTTGCTCTACAAATATTTTCCTTGTTCCCAAAACCATTTCTAAGGCCATCCCCAGAGTGTTCCCAGGCCCCATCCTTGAGAAGGATGAAAGGGATGAGGAAAGCACCAACTTTCCCTACCTGCAGTGTTTCATAACAAATACCCCAAGCACTTTCCAACATTACTCTGCAATTTAAGCTGCAGCTGCTGCAGGGGCTGTGACTCGATCGTTCCAGGCCCGGAAGGTGAAATCAAACAGCACCCACAGCTTCTGCAGCCTCCTCAGAGCTTCCAAACTCGCCGGGTTTCTGAAAGCCCCAGCCCTCAAAGTCAGTAAATCTTGGCTTTGATTTGAACAAAAGCACCTCTAGTTCTCAGGTCAAGGCTGAAAGATGAAAAGCAAACCATGCTTCACGTGAGCTCCACAGGCTGAGGACAAGCAGACACAGCCCTCGGGGTGTCTGAGCTGGGGGCCAGGGCTCACAGGCCAGCTGGACCTGGCAGTGCCCTGCAAAGTGCTGACCCACCTGGAAAGGGTTAACGGGCACCTGGGAATTCCCTGTGCAGGGACAGCCTCAGGGAAGGACGTGGGCATCCCCTGCCAGCCCTGACTGGCACTGGCATCCTCCCCACTCCCAGAGCTGGCTAGCACCACCCAAACCCGGCATTTATCTGGACGTGTCCAACTGCCACCGGCAAGAAACAAGGAGGTGTCCCCCAAACAGGGAGAGAGGTGCAGGTAAATCCCCAGGATGCAGGTATGCAGGCACCAGGCAATGCTGCCTGGCCCAGGCTGGGGCTCTCCAGAGGACAGAGGGAAGCTGCCAGCACGGCAGGGCACAGCTCTCCTTCTGCACACACACTTCATGCTGGATTTCACTGGAAACCTTGAGCCTGCTCTTCAGCCTCCCCCAGCCCCGCAGAGAGCAGCTGGATGTGACCAGGCTGCTGACACACAGCCTGTCCCCGTCCCTGCTGGGAGTGTGGGGGTGTTCTCTTTCAAATAAATAAATATTTAAGCAGAGCCAGCACCAACTGAACAGAGCAGGAATGCTGAAAGGTCAGGGGATGGTGATCCTGCTGGGCCAGCCTGGCTCCCAGCACTGCCACTCCGGGGTCAATAAAAGATTTATATCTCCATGATCCAGTTTCTGCTGAACTTCAGCTCAGCCCTGGGGTGCCTTTAAAGACACGGGCTCATCTTGGGGCTCTGGAGGTGTTTCAGAGGCACTGAGTGAGCTGGGAGAGGGGAGTGAGGCTGCCCGAGCTCCTGTGCAGCTGCTGGCACCCACAGACCCATGGTGTCCTCTGCACCCTCTGCCCTGGGACCCTGGGTGCCCTCAGCTCCCCATTCCCAGGATCCCGGGGTGCCCTCAGCTCCTCTTCCTGGGATCCTGGGGTGCCCTCAGCTCCTCTTCCCGGGATCCTGGGGTGCTCTCAGCTCCCCATTCCCAGGATCCCGGGGTGCCTCAGCTCCCCATTCCCAGCACGGCCCAGCCCCGTGCTGCAGCAGCCGAGCCAGCGCAGCCGCTGCCGGAAGCCGGCTGACCACAAGCGCTGTGTTTCGGCTTGCAGCTCTTTTCTAGGTAAAGCTGGAAAAGTCCCTGCTGCACGGCAGGCGGCAGCGAGTGTCTCACCCGGGTCCGGCCATCCCCCTGGAAAGGCAGAGGAAGCGCTGCTGCGGGCGGCACACGCCGTTCCTTCTGAGAAGCGCCGGCTCCTCCCGGCTTCTGCCGAAGAGCTGCTTCTGAGAAAGGCTGAGAGGAGCCCTCAGCACGGGCTGGGCCACGACAGCATCAGCTCTGCTCCTCCTGGGCAAGGGATGGCAGCTGATGGCACAAAGTGGGGCTCTGCTCGCCCCGCTCACCTCCAGTGCCCCGTGTACCCCAGAGTTACAGGGTGCTGAAGGGCTGATTCAACCCTCTGCAAAATAAATCCCTACAGCTGCCATCAAAGGGCTGCCCAGCAGCATCATTTACAGAAGCGTGGAATTGTTTTGCTTGGAAAAAACCTCCAAGATCACCAAGTCCAAGCTGTGCCCCATCCCCACCTTGTCACCCAGCCCCAGAGCACTTTGTGCCACGTCCAGTTGTTTCTTGAACACAAGCAGGGAAAGGCAGCAGCAGCAAATTTCAGTTTCTGTCATGGGAAGTTAAAAATCAGACCCACACAGCTACAAAAGAGCTCTGTGAAGCACTCTGAAAATGCATCTGTTTGTTTGTGGTGAGATGGGACTCCTCTTGGGTCTTGAGCTTCCTGGAAAAATCCCCACATCAGGTTCTCTCTCTGCAGCAAAGGGCTCACCATCACTTCTTCCACACCGAGCTGCACTTCCCCCCTCCATAAAAACCAGCACTTGATGGTGTCTCCCCCCTCCACACTCAGAACATTCTCAACTCCGTGCTGCCCCACAGGAGGCTGAGACACAAGGTTTAGGGTGCAAAAAGCTCCTTTTCTCTGTTAAATACCCAAGTGGCACTTGGGCTGGGGCAGAGCAGGGAACCTGGAACACAGAGACCGTTCCCAAAGGTGGAGGATGAGCACGGCCCTAGACCTGAGACAGCTCTGCTGTGGGTGACTCCCTGGAGCCCAGCTGATGGACTGGGGGGCACGGGGCTCCTGAAGGCCATGTCCTGCCTCCCGAGAGGACAGGGCCACCTCTCCACACCAGCTCCAGGCTGTTTGGATCCCACTGAAGTAGGGCACGCTACTCCTCCACAGCTGGGCAGGACAGGCAGTTCCCCACGGGGCTGAGCTGCACAGCTGGTGGCAGTGGCCGCTGTCACCACATCCTCTTGCACAAGGGCCGAGCCCGCGGGGTCACGGCGTGACTCAGGGCCGGCCTCGCCCCAGCCCGGGGCCACTCCTGGGCACACTCAGCCCCGGGGGCTTTCTGCTCCCAGCGGTTTGTGTTCCCAGTGCCTCACCCCACGGCTTCCAGGCAGGAGCCTTCCCCCTCTCCCGGGGCGCTGCTCCAGGAGCAGGACGGGCACCCACCCTGGCAGCTGTCTGGGATCCACCCAAACCCAGCACGTTATGCAAACATCCCATTGCCCAGAACTGGCCCCAAGCCTCTCCTTCTGCTTTCATCCACCCAGGCCTTGTTCTTACACACGCTCAGCCCCAGGGAAACCTTTGCCTGGTCAGCTGGGATGCCAACCCGAGATTCCCAGCATGGATACCAGGTGGTTTATCCGGGAAAATCCAGCACTGGGTTGGAAGGGATCTTAA